CCATCGCCGCCGGCAGGCCAAGCAGGCCCGGCCCCTGCCGAACGGAGTTGCCGGCGCAGCGAAGCGAAGCTGGCAACTTCGTTTGGCGGAAGGGCGGGCCTGCTTGTTCTTGAGGCACAACTTGCAGGTCTTGCCAAAGGCTGGGCACTTACTTGGCTTGCTGTGCTTCTCATTCCGGCCACAGTATCTGCATTTCCATGAGGCCCTGGGCTGCTGTGGAGGTCGAGCCTTCTTCTTGAAGGTAACCTTGTTGACCTCGTGGCCGTTGCCGTTGCTGTCTCTAGCTGCTGGAGAGCTCCGGCTGACTTGCTCTGTGTTCAGGACACGCTCAACACACCTCTACAGATTCAGCGTGGCGTCGAGTACGAGCGCCTGGGAGAGGGCCTCGTCCGCGATGCCAAGGATGATAATATCACGGATGAGGGAGTCCTTCAGGTTGCCGAACTCACATGGTGCCGCGAGGCGCTTGACGTCCATGATGAAGTCCGCGACGGGTTCGCCGGGCTGCTGAGCTCGACGGAAGAACCTTGCACGGTCGTAGACTGTATTCTTGGTTGCCTTGTAGAGATTGTCAAATGCAGCCAGCACCTCCGCGTACTTGCCCCTATCAGCGGCGGATAGGTCTAGGGTCTCGACTACCTGGTTGGCGCGTTTTCCCATGATGTACAGAAGCGAGTTTGCTTGGTATGCGTCTGACTGGCGGTCCAATTGGGCGAGCATGTGGTATTGAGTCCACCGCGACTTCCAATCAGCCCAATCGCTCGGGATGAATGAAAACTCTTCCGGGGGCTTGACGTCGGGAGCCGACGGCGCATGCTCTCCCATGATGTTGCTTGCTTGTACTTCTTCTTCATTCTTCTCAATTCCCTGCACCGCTGTCACCATGCGTGTGTGGGCGAGGGTGAAGTACGAGAGACCGCTTTGGAGAACAAGTTTATCGCTCAGAAGCCGAACCAGAAGTGACACGTACAGGTGCAGGCAACAAACAGGAAAACAGCTGACTGCTGTGGCGCACTCTGCCGGGGATAAGAGAACTATCCGACTGGTATAGTGCATTAGCACACATCTTTCCTTTTGCAAAGAGATGGCAAAGTCTTTCCAAAAATTAAATGAGCAATCCTGAAGATTGCGGCCCTTTTGCCTAAGAACGGCTGACCATTGCTATAAGTTTAAAAGACCCGAAAACAAGCAAGAAAATTAACAGGGCAATAACGTCTAATCTTGGCCTTTGAATTGTGAACATGATTACAACGGCTAATGTCGGGTTATTAAAATTTAAATAACAAGCCTAGCTAAATCAAGTTGAGGGCAGAGCGCAATTGATTAAGAACCATAAAACATCACATGAGCATTTTACAAATAATTGATCACAATAAAATGTCACAGTGAGAGAGTTACAAAATCAGGCAAATTGAGCAGCACAAGAGTACAATAAAATATCACAATAAGCATGTTGCGAAATAAGGAAAATTGAGGTACACAATTAGAGATTAATTAATGGCAATTGAGCAAGTTGCAACATAAGGAAAATTAAGTTACACAATTAGAAATTAATCAATGACAAAGTCCTTCAGATGTCCAGGTCGTTTGATATCCCGAACTGGTCTTTGGCTCCTTCCTCTCCCTCCTGGAGAAAGGCTCAGTCGCTTCCTCGATGTGCCACTAGGTCCTGGAGTGGCAACAGTCTCTGGGATTCTCTGGGCTGGTGGTGAGTCACCACGGGTAGGTATCTCCACCATGGTGCTGATGGGTGGATACTGGTAGGGTCCCAGCCTCTGTGCTAGTGCCCTGGCGTCGAACAGATTTCTCCTGTTCCTCCTCAAGGTCTTCCCTCCAACACAGACCATGTAGCTCCTCGGGGCGTCAGCTTTGCCTGCAATGGTACCATACATTTGTAAATCAGATACCCAGACTTCAGTATTTACCCCGAGTGGCTGCAGTTCCTTTGCTCGTTTCGCCTTGTCGTAGCGGTGCTTGACGGCAGCGGTTCTCTCCTTGAGCAAGGTATTTACTTTTGACTTGAAAACAAAGACAGTAGCGCTCTCTATCGCCCCGCAGCGGTAGCGCGGCTTCCAAACCGCTGGAATCTTTCTGAAGCTCCATTCTTTTCAGCATGGCATGAAAGCGCCCATATTTTCACAGTATACTAATCCTCTTACTCTCCCCTTTCCGAAAATATGCGGTTTCACCTATTAAATGATACTTTTGTTTGGTGGCCGTCGGCCGGACGGACGTACGGCCGGACGTACGTACGTACGACACTTATTTTGACGCGCCCTAATCGAGTAGTACGGTGATTCGCCGGCAGGGCGCGGCGGTGCCGCGGAGGCGCGCTCGTGCGCGTGTCTTAAGTCCCTGGGAACCACTCTTGTCTTCTTAGATCAATCGGCCATCGTGACGACGCTTCCCTGGGCGGCTCCGGTGCGCGGGCAGACGCGTTGTAACCGGTGCGCGGGACCCGGACGGACTCCTTGACGGCGACCTCGCGCGCGGTCCCGGTGCGCGGGCGGTGAGCGGAGGTGGCGGGCGGCGGCGGGCGGCGGCGGGCGGCGGGACCCGGGCGGGCCCCCGTGCGGACGGCCCCGGTCCTCGCGGTG